TAAGAAATATTGGAGGGTGGTTCAGAAGAGAAATCAGTTGCGAGTTCAGGTTGCTGAGTTAGAGAGGCATATAGATGCAATAGATTTAGATATAGAATTTGATATTTAAAATATATTTATTTTTCTATATTTTTCTTTCTTCTATTTTTCTTTTTTATATGTATATTTTTATGTTATTTTCTTTTCTTTTTCATTAAATAAAAAATAATAATAATAACAAAAATAATAACAAAAAATCAAGCATTCAAATACTTCAACTAAGAGCCACACTGAACTCAGTACCTAGCAGGTAGCTCCTTTAGCCAGTCTCAAACCTGGGTCCTGCAAGTGGTAGCTCTCCACCATGACTGTTAATCCATAATTCAAATGATACTAAAAATTTTAATATCACTTCTTATGAACGTAAATAGAAGTACAATCACATGTTAATTTTCCTTTCGAATTTTCTTTCAAAAAATTATGCATGTCTATATAAGTGTTGGCTAAGTATTTGTTGGTGTGATTGGAGATTCTAATCCAATACTCTTTTTGTAAATAAAATTTAAGTATTTAGTGTTTTCGGAGTTTTCGTCCTTTTACGATATTTACAAACTTATTGTTAGACTTATTAAAAAATAATATTAGGATATTAATTAAAATATAGGAATAATAAAAATAAGAATAATAAATATTAAATTAATTTTAAGAATATTATAATTAATGTTAAGAAAATATTAAATTAGTGTTAATAAAAATATTAATAAAAATGTTAATAAAATGTTAATAAAATGTTAAATTTCAGTTTCTAGAATATAGTTTGCTTTTCCGGATAATAGTACTAAGAACTCTTCTTTTCATTTTACTTTTAGATCTTCTGGATATTATTCAACATTAGCTTGAATAATAGTTTTACTCCTTTCAAGAGCTTTGAGTAAGCTTCAATGTCTTCTTTCTTTCGTCTATTGGTAAATCTTATAACATCACCATGTGACTTGATCTATATATACTTCAAGATCATCGGTTTGTCTCTTCTTTTTCCTTATTTCATTTTACTTATTTTCCCATATGTTATTCTGCTTATCAAGAAATTTCAATATAATACTCATACTTCTTTTTCAGCTTCATAGTTGGCTTAATCACGTCATTCCTCGTCGCTTTTTGGTCGTGGATTCCTAATACAGTAACTTCCAAAATCAGTTACTGACGCGTAGATCTGGAGCCGATTTTCTGTTTGGTTAGTTCTGTTGATTTGTATGGAACTTTAATTACTTTGTTACTAACATTTTTCCTTGTTTATTTCTTTCCAAATATTAGTTTTTGCCAATTTAGTCATTGTTGGTCGATCTTGAGGTCCTTTCGGCATTTTCTTTTAAGTACTCTTCCTTTCCAGTTACTTTTAGCTTGGTCAAGCTAATTCTTTTTTGGTTCTTTCAGTCTTTGGGTTCTTGTGGCGATCCCAATAGAGATCTTGGATTCGTTCGATCTCTCAATTATTAGAGCAATTTTTATGTCCTTTTTGCTCTTTTTATTTTAACTTCTTTCCTTCTTTTCTTTCCAGAGCTATTGTAGATAGTCGATCTTCACTTAGCCGAATAATTTTCTTAGGGCTTTTACTATTCTTGGGTTTAATTGTTGGGCTGTTGGATCTTCTCTCATGTAGGACTTAAATTAGTCTTTAGGGCGTCTCTTGTCTTTTAGATTAATTCTTGAACTATTCTTAGGGTCCATATTCTAGATAGCATTATTACCAAGTCTTTTCTAGATTTTTCTTTAAGCAGAGGTCTTGCTCTTTGTAGATTTCTTCTTTGATGTTCGTTTACTTCCTTGATTACTTAAAATGGAGTTTTTTGCTTAGGATTTTAAAGAACTTAGATAAGTACTTTTATTTTGTAGCATTATTTCTTTTAGTGCTTCTACATTCAACATCCAATGTAGTTTGTCAAGTCAAGGTTTTAATTGAATCTTCCCTTATTTTAATTAGGTTTAATTTGATTCCATCAACTGGTCAATAGGGTAAATGTTTTCAACAGCAATAATGTTGTTCCTGCGCGATTCCAGGAACTAGTAGATTATCATTGTAGAGTGTCAATCAGGTAATTGTTTTTCGTGGTCAGTTTATTAAGCTTTAGTTGATTCGTCAAATATGTGTGTCTGTTTCGTTAGGCAGGCTCACCTTTCTATGAATAATAAAAAATAATAATAATAATACGCCGGCAAGGCTTGCAGTATAAACTCTCCAAGCATAAAAAAAAATAATATAATAATAATAATAACAAATAATAATTAACATAATAATAATAACAATAACAAATATAACCATAATAATAACACATTGCTTTCTTTTTAAATAATATAATATAATATAATATAATAGGTGCAAGCCAAGATAGATAGTTTTAGCAGATTCTCAGTAAAATTTTCTATAATTTCACGTCTTCTCTAGACTTCCTCAAGGCTGCAATAATAGTTTCTAAAATTCAAGATTTAAGAAGTAAAATAGTAAAGCAATCCAAGATGAATAACTCTAATAAACCTTAGTGAAATTTTCTATAATTCCACTTTTTGTCATTCGAGTATCACTTGGTTGCAATGTCATTCAATATATTTTACCAATTGTCCTTTGTAGTTGTTCGTTAGGATAAGTCACTTTCTATTGTTGTTTTTCTATTTTTGTTTTACAAATATAAGTTGCTATTCTAGAGCTAATTTCACAGTTATTTTCTTGTAAATTGATATTTCCAATTTTAGCATATTAGGGTGATTCAAGGTCATTTTGAAGATGTATAATTCCAATAAAGTTTCATCATAGATGTCTTCATGATTTCTTTGTTTGGAATATGTTTTGTCCTTGTTATTTTACTTGCTTAACTTTTGCTTTGTATAATTGAAGTTCTGGCCTTGGAAGTCTTAGTGTAGGTTTTCTATTCCTTTTGACTTGGACGGATGCTTCCAAATCTTCGGCGCATTGTGGTTAATAGGGCTGTCATCCATCTTCCATGGTTTGGTTTCGTTCCCATGCGCTTGTTTGATATTGATGTTGTAATGTCCTAATAGCTAAATAAGTTTCAGCTATCTTCAAACTTTTATGATTCACTCAATTCGGAAGTACATGTTCATGAGCAAATCTCTTTTCTTTGCTCAATGGATATCCTTTCTTAGAATTGATTTGGCACTTGTCTTTGGTTGGTAAGAATTGGCAAATTTGTGTCTGAATCTAATTTTCAGATTCGTTATTATATTGCTCTGGTTTCATTGCTTTTACTGTTGAACATTTTTGTTAAAAATTTATATCAGAGCAGAGCTATTTATACTACTCTTAAAGTTGCACTTGCCCATTTCGCATATGTCATTATGCGATTATGCCTTGGTGTATGACTTCGCTTATTAATGCCATTTTCCAGTTCCGGTTCCAAATTCAATACTGCAATGCTTTTTGTAATACTAGTAGTTTATTCTTCCGGGATAGCACTACTTCTTGATTTTAATAAATAGGACCGTAGTACTCTATGTTTTTGTTAGATTTGCTTCTTGAGTACTTTGTTTCGGGTTATGTGTTCAATACTATATTCGGATATGTTGTATGTACTATACATAACTAGTATACTAACAATAGTACTGGTAGGACATATAGTATTTCTGTATGTACGTTTAGTAGTGCTATAAGGTCTAAGCCGGAAAGCTACTTCCATGTGCTAGAGCATTGTGATCTGTTATTAGGGCATTTCAGATCTGTTAGATTGGGCTAATATTAAGTCCTATGACTTTGTTTATTTAAGTTTCTGAGATCTTGAAAGAGATTCCAAAGAAGTATTTTGGTCACGTGGTTTGGGTAGTTCCTCTGGTAGGTTCAGGTCCGGTACTGTTTCGGTGCTAGATTAGAGACTTCGGTACTTTTGTTAGAGGTTCTAAGTTGGTTATTTCTGGCCTAATTCTGGTTAATATTTAGAGTTCTGAGATGAACTTTAGGTACAGTTTTCGGCATTGTTTTTGGCCTGTTTTCTTAGAATAGCTTTAGGTAATTCCATCAGGGCAGTCGGGTATTTCAGTTAACATGTTAGGTTTCCAGAATGGTTTTAGCATTTCTGCCAGAAGGCACCAAAATGTTACAATGCTATAGCCTTCTTGTTAACTACATAGCATAGTAACAAGGTCACCTGGTGCAGAGATTCTGCTACTGGAATATACACAGGGTGGATGTGAAGTACAATTAAATATCTACAAGCAGAAAGTAAGCAGTTCAGTATTAGGATAGTGTATTTTAAACCTTTATTATTATAGGACAAGAGGATAACCTCCTTTAGAGATCCTAAAGAGAGTTATACATTACAAGAGAGAATTACAAGACTAATTCTATATGAGAGAGAGGTAATAGTTTCTAACTAGATACTTGTTAAAACCTGTATTAATCTATTTTTACAAGAAGGGATTAATGCTCCCTTTATATACCTTTTACAAAATAGAAAAGGAAATGTAATATTGTATTTGAGAGAGTTGAGAGATGTGCTTGAGGGAGTAGGAGGCCATGTTGAGGAAGTTGAAGATCGTGTTGAGGGAGTAGAGGGAGTTGAGGGAATTGGAGGCCGTGTTGAGAGACTTGAAGGTATAGTTGAGGGACTTGAGGGCTGTGTATAACTTTAGCTACAATATGTGCTACAGTGGCTTTAACTCTCTGTTAAATACTAATATTAATATATATAATAAATAATAACTATCTAATATAAAATACAAGTCAATAAATATAAACTAAATAATATAAAATCTAAAATCTAAATTATGAACTATGCTATGCTAATTTACGAAAACCTGTTTTATAACAATAGTTAACAAACATGTATTACTGTATTAATTAATTGAACTAATAAAAACTATAGTATGTAAATTTTGTTTTTTATTAATAAAAATAGTTTTACTATATTTTTATTATTTTAGTCATATATATATCCTTATAATTAATCTTGTAATTATTCTAATCAATACAATAATACCATTAATCGGGTTTATTACAAAAAAATAGTATTAAGCTAATTCACTAGTCATATAGATAAGAAGAAGGATAAATTTGACAAAAAAAAATGAATACAAAAAATTAAATATCTTATGAATGATTGATCAGAATTATATAATTTTGGTACTGTTCGATTCGTCTCAATAAGACAAATTAAACAGTACCAAAATTATATAATTCTGATCAATCATTCATAAGATATTTAATTTTTTGTATTCATTTTTCTTTGTTAAATTTGTCTCTTTTCTTAGCACCAGCCCATACTATCTATATTATAAATTCTTATAAAGCATTGTTGGTATAATAAATTATAATACAGCAAAAGTGTAAATAATAGAATATAATTTTGCTATGAATATAGGTTGCTATATAAAAAAAAAGAAGAAAAACCTTATTAGCAAAATTGTAATCTATATACTACAAAATAGTTTTTTTTAATTTACTTTATATTTTTATAAGACACCCTTCTTTCAAAGATGCATTTTACAGAAGGTTCTTACTCATATGCATCTAACAAGCCATTTTTCATGTCAAGATTTTGAAACCCCCAAAAGAATCTTGTGAAAAAAGATAAAATAACTGTCTATCTTCAAAGGGGTCTCACATTATCTAATAACATTGGTTTTTCATATTTTTTATACTACTTGATTTGTTAAAGCTCTGGCAATCTATTTGTTTAAGTAATATTATATGTTGTAACTAAACTTTGAGAGAAAATTTTAAAAATGTGATTTCAGTGATTTGTATAATTTATAAAAATCATATGATAAAAAATTAGGTATAACATCTTGATCGACTAGTACATACTATACTGTACATATAGTACTATATGCGGCACATCACTAATTACAAGGTTGACCTAAATATATTAATAATGATGAAATGTGATTACTTGGTGCTCTAAAAATCACTTTACCCAAAAGGCCATCACTAAGGTGTAGTCTTTCTATAGAATTTGGATTAACTTTTGGCATAATAACTACTACTAGAAATAAGTTAACAAATAAACTATATTTTACAACTTTGAATTGGATATTTAAAAAAAAACATATTATATGACTTTTGAATTGAATATTAAAAATGAAACACTTTTGAATTGGATATTAAAATGAAACATATATATGACTTTTGAATTATATATATAACTTTTAAATTGGATATTAGAAAATAATTATTTATATTTTTTGAAATTATTTTTTAAATAAATTAAATTTTGTAATATTCATATTTATTATTTCAATAAATTGTTAATTTATATTTTTTGAAAGCACAATACCATATTCATTACTTTGAAGCAAGCAATAGATGCATGTATAATATACTTGTATAGGTGTTAGGCTATATCATTAAATATATTTTTATTTAGAATACCAAATACTAATTGCTTAGTTAGTTTTTAAGATGTAGATATTAAATTTATAGTGTATTTGTGCCAATAGGCTTTGATTTGTTGTTTTGTAATTTTAATATCTTTGTGAGCAACTATATTTTTTATTTTATCTAATACTAGTTGAACAATAAAATTTCTGCGACATATTTGCTGACTAATATATTACATGTAGATCACTGAAATCTAGTAGAAATCGTCTAATATATGTCAGCTAATAGCTCACAAAAATTTGGCATATATCTGTGGCCTATTAAACTAGTGCATATTAGCAAATTTCTGCAAACTATATATAGAATTTTTGCAAAAATATCAACTAGTAAATATTATCAGAAAATTTTTTTATTGCAGTTCTGCACAGATTTGCAAAAAAATTAAATAATAAATCAAATGAAAATCTGTACAAAACTTCAAAATTTATACTATGAATGCAGAAATTAGATACAATTTTGTGCAAAACTTCAAATTCTAAAAAATTTTGCAGATTTTTTACAACAATTCTTCAAAAATTTGCAAAAATACAGATTTTTACAAATTTGCACTTATTTAATTTTTCTGATGATACCTATTGTAAAATCTGGACACGTATACTCTGGGTATTTTCATTACTCAATTTAGTACCCGGGGTACCTTTATATAGGGGGTACATTGTATTGAGACAATATGTTTTTTTTTTTTTTTTTATGGTATTAAGGTGACCTCTCTGGCCGGGAGTTTTTTATTAAGTAGCTATAACATTATACAATTACAACAAGGGTACATCAAGCCACACATGCACCTTTTAAGTGCCTAATTTAAGTAGTTCGCCCGAAGGTTCTACACTATCTGCCATACCTGCACCCCAACTAGGGGGTACCCATTTAAACCCTCTGGTTCTAACTGTTGGTTATTTTTATCTAACCAAGGTGTAACTCACTATTCGGTTGTAGCTTTTGCAACACCTGTAAATTTCGCACTCACCTTAGGACTTACTAACCATCTAAAGCTAGTCTATCCACGAGGTAAACCTAACAGAGTGATCCATATTCCACATATGTATTCACCTGCATGTTCGGTAACTTCTTATCTAACTAGTACATGTTATACTGCCGCCACCGGGTTTGTATCTCAAGCCAACTTTTTGGGGTGCTGCTGTAACCCCATCTGTATCTCAAGCACAACTTTCCTAATTAGTCACCTATTACGTACTCACTGCTCTTGTAAGGTTCCCAACAACCCCAGTACCCGCATTTGGAACTGTCTTCTTACCCAGATTCTCTATCGGTCCCTCCTTTACTTCCAGCCAGCAACCCGGATAGGTTAGTTTGACCAGGCTTTATAATTTTTTAAAAAAATAAATGTTATTACCTAGTTTAGGGAGTTTTGAAATATTCAAAAATTGACTTGTATAAATAGCTTGTAGATGTGTCTGATATTTGAATTGTGTTAATTTGACTTGATCATATGTTAAGAAATTTTTGTCTAAGTCTTTAATATTTTTAACTTGCTTATTCAGTTTATCTTTTAAATCTCTATCAAAATGATTCAATGTACTAGCTAATTCTCCAGCAGTTGGTCAGTTTTGAAGTTCTGTGTCTAAGCATTTATTCATCAGATCCAAAGTAATTGAGGAGCTTCATATCTAATTTTGGGCCTATAACCTAGACAAATATGTGTTGCTAGATCTTTATTGTGTGGGATATTATGGTATGGAGAATATCCAGTAAAATTTCCGTCATAATTATTCTGAATGAATAAATATCTGATTTTTGACTTACTGACCTTTACATAATACTTTTTAAGGCATTTATTACATTAATCATTTTGTTTAACTAGTAAATATAAAAGTTATTAATTGACAGAATTAAAATCAACAAAGCAAAGTAATAACCAAGAATATAAATACTTACTGACTATTAATAATATCTTTCAAATCATTCATTTATGTTAATTACTTCATTCAGTTGTGAATATAAAAGTCATTAAATCAGTAGAATTAAAATTAGCAAAAACAAGTTCACAAACTAAGAACATAAATACTTATACTAACCATTATATAATGCTTTCCATATCATTCAGTCGCGTTAATTATAGAACTAAAATCAGTAAACCAAATTCAAAATTGGCAAAAACAATTACACAAACCAAGAACATAAATACTAACTATTATATAATACTTTCCATGTCATTTAATTGATGAAATTAAAATTAGTAAACAAATTTACAAATGAAAAGTATAATACTTTGAAATAATTCACTCTCATTAATTATTTTGTTTTGCTAGTGAATGTAAAGATAATTGAGCAGTAGAATTAAAACCAGTAAAACAAGTTCACCAATTAAGATAAAATATGTACGCACATGAAGATATATAACAATTACTAAATTATCATAGCATGGATAGAAGCTCCCAATTTAATAGCCTTCTTATTTTGATTCAATAATCTAATTACCAATATAAAAATAAGCAATAAATTTGTTTAATTACAAGTAAATCAAGATATCGCTTATCATCGGGAACTTCAACATATTGACTAACTAGAATATATACATATAAGTATACAAAATTACAGTTTAAATATAGTCGTCCCTCCATATAGTCACCTCCCATATAGTCACAAACTCTACACAATCACATGATTTTAAATTCTCATTTTTTTATTATTAAAAATACCTCTATATAGTCACAATTATATTATAATCACTATCACATTTTTTTAGAATTTGT